ATCTTGCCATAAACACATCCTCCTCTCCTTCTTACCATTCCACCCCTCCTCCACCACACCCCTTCCACTTCAATCTAGCGCTATAAAAAGGGACACCTGATCAAGAGCATCTCAGTATCAGGCTGCTCTTCAAACCCTGATGAAGTGAGCTGTAATGTTCACGAAACGTCGGTATAAAAATGACACTAACGCGGTTCAAACCCGAAAAAACATCTTTGTATGTTAATACTACACACCGTGAAAGCATCAAATATCAAATTAATCCACAAACCTTCTTCTCCTTACAGTCTCCTATCAGGGGTTATAAAAATAATAAGGCTCGTAAAGGATCCGCCGTACTAAAGCCCGGTCAGAAACCTGCTATCAGGGTTATATGTAACACGACGTTATATTTTTGATCAGGGCGCTGTCAGGCTGCATTAACAAGACCTTATCAGGCAACAGGACAAAACCTAACCTAACGCGCTCTTCTTAAGGCCGTGTTTGATTTTCTACTCGGGTCCCAGTAATTATCGTATTCTTGGAATCTTATTAAATTTGTCGGAACGAGACCTCTCGAGTTTTTTACGTCATCATTACGATATTAAGCTAAAAAAAAAAAAAGCGGTTTCTCAAATCGGTCAAAGAACTCTTTCCCGTGCTGGAACAACATAACACATACGACCAAAACAAACTGCGGTAACATTCTTCCTGGTCCATTAGGCAATTTCTTCTTCGAAAACCAGGCGGAAAATCTCATCGGCGCGAAATGAATTTTTTTATTTTTTATTTTTTTTTAACGAGACACAATATCGCGCGCGATTGAACGACGGACGGGAAATTATGATTCTACGAAATAAGAAGTTCGACGCCTTCGGTTAATGGGCAAGAACCGGCTAGACATGTTTATTCGACTCGAGATCGAGCAAAGAAAGAGAGGGTAACAGAGAGAAAGAGCGAGTGCATGTGCGAGTTAATATTTTTAGATTCACATTTGATGTAGGCAAGTAAGTAAGTGAAGAAGCGGAAGAGTAGCGCTCTCGCACGACGAGGTTGGAATTCATTGCGTAACTTCGCCAGCGATTGATTAATGTCGATTTATACCGTGGACGATCGAACGAGGCGATTTACTATTTGCATAGATGAGTAGACATTTATATATATTCCCGAGATTATTACGTACTTTTATTGTCAGCTGCAGAACCTGTCAAACTCGAATATATATAAATATACATTCTATTTACACTTGATTATATATTTACTGAAGTAAATTTTTTCTTGCGTCCATTCCATGAACAACTTGACCGTTAAATAAAAAAAAAGTTAAGCATATGTTCATCAAAACATTACTGAACGATAATTTGAGCGAGAGAAGCGGTCGAAGACGAATTAACATATTGAGGATGTGAACATATTTTTAACATTCTTTTCACGTCACGTCTAAATTGAGGCTAATTGCAAAAACGTGAATAATATTTATATTTGCATGACAATAAGACTGCGCGTTAAAAAATTTATTTATTTATTTATTTACATCCATATATTTGCTATTTCGACGTATATCTCTGCGTTAAGTAACGCTCGCAAAAGTTTATTTAAATTTTCTTTAACTCGTAAAACTTAAAACGCATAGAAAAAAAAGTATCACCTTGAGCAAATAATGAAAAACAGAGGAAAATTGAATAATAATAATTAATTATGCCGCTTGTTATAACATACACGTAGATCCGCATTGTGTCGCATCGTTACATTATGCGGTGAACTGTGACTTATTAGATAGTAGAAATTGTCTTCAAGACGATTTTAATATCGCGCCGAAATCATCACAAAACCTCCCCCATTCTATTCATTTTTCTTTTACGAGCAAACATCATGACGCTATTGCAAAACGCGATTATCATAGCTACCGTCGTTTAATCATTATTCTTTCGAACTCGCAGATAACTCGCGCAACACAGAAATTGACTTTACAAGGCGCGTGATGACACGAATTACCGCTTATATCATCACGTGTGATTATAATACGCATTGTAATTCCGAAGCATGCTCCGCTTATTATAGACCATTTCCTACCGGTGCCGTTTCTTTTTTTTTTTTTTCACGGTCGACGTATCGTAGCGGCCTTGCGCTTTTCTATTTGCACGAGCGAGCGATCATCACGCCAACAGTTCTCTCTTGTTTTCTGAGAACTGTAAAGTATGCAAAAAGCCGGAAAATGCGACGGAATGCGGCGCGCAAGCAACAAGGACGTGGCGAACGCCATGGATGATATTTTGCTCCTTTATTTCGCTCGCTCCGGTATCGCCAGTCGACGCACCGCAATCTCCGCCGTTAACCGCAGCACACACAGTTTCCGGTCATCATCATCATCCCGACGATGAGGTTGAGAGAGAGAAAGAGAGAGAGAGAGAGAGAGAGAGCTAATTATTTGTTTGCGTCGAATCCCACGTCCGTGTGCGTTGCGGTCGAAAAATATTGCGATACCGATTCCGTGGCGCGATTATCCGGTCGAGCGGCGGTTTCCTGACCTACGTACGAGATTTCTGCCGCAAAATATCGATAATTGTGTCCTGTCGACATTGTCTTTAAGTCTCCGATCGCTTCAATTATCTTTGATTATCGTCGATTTAACTCCGCGCTTATTTACGCTTTGATTACTTCGATCATTCCTTCGGTCGTTTCTGCTGCTTTAATAATCGCGCTAATATGCTTCCTCATGCAGAGGCACTTGTTTATTGCGCGACCGAAACTATTTTTCTCTATAGTTTCTTCTCAACACCCTTCCGTCGGGAAGAGGAGGTTTTGTCTTTTCTGTATACAATATTTACAGTTTCTTGTTTAATTATTTTTTTTACGCAGAGACCGTAACATAAAAATGCTTGACATTGTCGGAATGTCTAATTGTCAGATATTCTCATTAGATAAACAAGTTGACAAGTGATATCAGATAGAAAGAAAGTCTATCGAACAGGTGTGCTGAATAAACGAGAGTCATATGTATGTAAGTTTCATGTCCATTTTGGTGATGTGCTATCTGATTATTACGAGTCCGCGATGTCGCGATAAACGAGCGCGGAAACGAAGAAATGTCATGAAAGCGTCATTAGTCGAGACTTTTGCTCAATGTAAACGAATGGGTTAGGTACCTACACACGTGCGTGATAAGAGATAAACGATTGCTACACGTCGCTGCGTCAAGAATAAATAAGCGCTGGAGAAGAGATGAAGATCATTAAGAACGAGAGATAGAAGAGAGATAGAAGAGACAGTGCGACGTGAATTTATAAGTTCTACCTCGGAGAGAACATTTCACGACGCATCTTTTGTTCGGCCGCGCGTTACAAAATTATCGTAATTTAAAAAAAAAAAAAAAAACAGCGTACGGAGAGATCGGAGACTTTGGATTTCCAATGCGATTCGCATGGAGTGTGCAACCTCGGTTAGCCTAACAAAGAAAAACATTCGTAATACGTAAAAAAAAAGAGTCAATTATACGGTGAGTCTCTTATCGTGTGCAATAATCGCGTAACTGCGATCTTTATTCACTTTTTGCTCGAACGTGTATCGTCGAGAAAAACACTTTTTTCTCTCTCTCTCTCTCTCTCTCTCTCTCTCTCTCTCGACTCGGTGGAAACTCTACTTGTATTCATCGTCATGCATAAATATCGAACAAGGAAATGATTAAAGCCTCTGTGAGGAGGATAGTCTCCGTCTGGCAATAAAAAGGACGTTGCATACGTTTACTCGTACGAGCGAATCGATATCCAGGGACACCGCGGGTAATATTCCCGCATATTACACGAATACACGTGTGCACATGAATAGATATACATACACACACACACACTCACACACGTACACATGTATGCACGCGTACTTTTGCGCAATAGAGACACAGCGACATATCGGCAGAGGGAGAGAGACCCACCTCTAGTCCCTCGTGCACAAGCGATATGACCGGCACACCGAGATGCATACACATGACGATCCACCCGATGCATTATTCACCGACCGGCGACCGGCCGACGATGACGGTGGTAACGCCATGCAACGGCGGCGCGATAATAACTATAGCATCTCTACTCCGAGAAACACAGAAATAGACACACACGGTGCAGCCGTCCGTTAAAAAGCGCCGGGTGCCGAGTCGCGCACCCGAATAAAAGAATCCAAATTTCCGGTGACCGTTTTCTCGCCGCCGACGTTTTTTGTCTCGACCGCAACGGTGTGTGCGCGTGCAGCATCCGATTATAAAACACATATCGCGCGCGCGTGTGTGTGTGTGTCTGTGCGTGCATGTACTCTTAGATTTAGATATTCGCGTCTAAAGTTGACTGACGCTATATATAAACTGTGATTATCGTTCTTTGTTGCTACTTCTGTTGTCATCAGAAAGTTTCGTTAACGGACAATGTGTGTGGAGTTGTAACGTGTATTTTGTGCATTCCAAAAAAAACGAAAAATTTAAATGTATCACATAAAAACTCTTGTCGCGAGAAAATTAGAAAAAGTGTTTCACTCGAAAGGTATTTTTTCGAGAACCTTTATATCACGGACGAGATAAGAGGTAAATGGATGGTTTTTTAAAAGGGTCTGAATCATTGCGCGCACACAAGCGATGAAAAGTAAGAATGTATTTTTACGAGAAAGATAAAATGTATTTACCGAAATTGCTCCGTGTGTGTGGCGTGAGAAAAAAAAAACGGTAATTGATTAAATATAATTGTACTTTGCGTTATAAGAAGACGGAATATCATCACGATGATAGCTTTCACGCGCAATAAACGCTGATACATATATTTCTGTTTGATGAATTTATTTAATTCTTTTATGCACGATTCAATGAATACGACGGAAATGTGTTTGAACAAGATATCGCAAAATAATGAAGCGCTTTTCAAGCACTTTCGAGGGGAACGGCAAGTCGAGTTTATACAGTGTGATTATAATTCATTCATTCACAAACGTATATTAATATGTATTACACCGACGCGGCGGTCGCGCTCGCAAAGACCGCTAATCTAAAGGCGCGTTTAAGCGTAACGATATTAAATCGATATCGTGTAAGACCGCGCAAGAAGTTCGCAATAATTTTACGTCCGTCCACACATTACGTTACACAGATTACGGCAATCGTTACGCGCCGCCTTTTGTTCTCAAGTTTTCTTACATAACATAATTAATATTGATAACATATCTCGCTTATTTTTACAGTCTCTTTGGTATTTTGCGGAAATTCACACGACAATAGCCAATATAAATATTGCGCAGAGATATGTTTCTTTTGTTTAATTAATTCAATAAAATTTTATTCAAATCTCGGATTACCTCCTACTTATCGCATTCAATGTTTTGTGTTCCAGATATTGCAAAAATGACGGGGCAAGCGATGCGTCATTCTTCTTCACCGAGGTAAATGATAATGTTGTTTACGAGTCCGATCATACACAAACGTGTATGAAATTTGTTACCGCGATAGCATTATCTATCTATCGGTAACGATAGTAGCGGAATGATATCGATACGTGTTTATGATGAAGTAGTAGCCTCGCGATATATGTACATTTTATCTTCTCAGTAAAGTCGCGTCACTGTATATTTTGTTTCGCTCGAAGCGAGTTCGGATAAAAAATGCGCAATTGAAAAAATTACGAATTTTATAATAAAACGCGATATAAACGCGACTCGAAACCGCGATGTTTGCTACTCAACCTTATCGTGTGTGTTACAGATATCATTGCACGACAGTCGTCTTTGTCGAATGAAAGCAACACACCAGGTTTTCTTAAGACGTGTCGTTGAAAAATTAAAATATAAAAAAAAGAACAATATCTGCGATATTAAACGTCGGTAATCTGCTCCGAGTTGGATATTTTTAGATCGGAATTATGTTGTGGGTATTTTTTACCGCAATTGTATAGATTAAATAATCCGCGAGAAAATATTCCAGTATTCATTAATAATACAAGACTCATATTCGCGCATATCTTTTCGTCCCGGTTTTTAATTATGTCAGAGACAATAATGGAAAACATCGATCTGTCAAACGCGTTAACACAAAACGGGACATAAATAACATAATGTCCTAGATGCGTTCGAAAACTTCAGAAAGACATACATACAAATCGGAAGTGGGAGAATATTAATTGAGCCTGTCGGTAATCACCGAGAGATTCTTAAAAAAAAATCAGGATGAGCCGGCCGAAGGAGAGTTCGACGTTGAACGCGTGCCAAGGAAAGAGCGAAGCGAATCGAAACTATGCGGAGTGAAATTGGACGATTTCGTGGTGGGTCGACGTGTGCACGACCGGCATCTTATAGCCGCGTCCTTTTTATTGTCACTGGGATAAATATAACAACTAAATTGGGAACGAGAGGGAAAGAGAGCTATAACGCGGAATTTCACGTGAAAAATATCCGTTAAAGCATCATCGTATTTATTCTGCTGATTCCTCTCTCCTAAACGTGAGATCTCGAGCTTCTCTCTCTCTTTTCGTTTTCTTTCTCTTTGTATATCGATCTCGTCAAACATTCACCCTCACGTACGTGTAATCGAATGAAATTTTAATGTCGTCTAAGTAGCGCATTTATAGACAGAAAGATCCAATTCCCTTTTTATTAATAAATGGCGCGATTGACGAGAGACGTAAAGAAATAACTGGAGAATAATTAATTTGATTTTTCTTAATTAAATTTCAAAACCGTTATTCGAGATATCTCTCGAAACGGATTACAATACTCGTTTAATTAATTTGTTTTATATGTAATATATTATTTTATATGTTATATATTTTATATTGTTTTGTTGTAAATATTTATTATTTAAAATAAAAAAATATAACTGTTTAAATCAATCTTATTGAATTGCTTGTTAAAACAAAATCTTTTTATCAAACTTGTCATTCAAAGAAATGTCAAAGATTCGTTTTCGTGTTATTCACGTCGTCTTTAGTTCTTGTTCCATAATCTTCCTCGTCGTAAATATACATTAAATATTGTATCCAAAGATTTTCTCTTTCCAAAACGTTTTAGGTCAAAAACCTTCTCGACCTGAAGTATCCTGTGTGCCCGAACTTGTCACATAACTCAATATTTTCTTTAAGAAAAAAAAAGACTTATGGGAGAAATTTTTCGTGCGATGTAAAAGTACTGATATCTAATGAAAAATTCCATTCCAGTGGCGCGCATAGATTATCATTCCGACATGATGCGATAGCATGCAATGACCTTGTGTAAAACTCATTATCATGACGAACTTACCAACGTGTGGAAGAGTCGCGCGTTTATCTTCGCTTTGTAATGTATCATAAAGTGTCGTAACACCATCGGCTTCATGCTTTTTAAAATGCAAACGCCACATGTCACGCCTCCCGATCGGAAAAAGTATGTTTGATAACACGTTGAGTTCTCTTATCTCTCCCGTAAGTAGACATTCACGCTATTGTCGCGTCGGCTAATAACATGTGTATTTTCGCACACAACATAACAATTTTGATGTGCACGTAATTTTTATGTAATGCCATTTAATGAAAAGGTTTGGACGATTTGCGATAATTACTGCGATCGATTGATATTGCTGCGTTAAAATCGATGATAAAAAAAAAAAAAAAAAGTATTCAAAGCGTAAAATTATTTCAACAGTTTGTTTGATTTTGATAAAATGAAATACGGAAATACAGTTACGCTAAGTGATTTACGTAACAGTTAAAAAATAATTGTTGCAAAACAGAGAGAAAAAGAGAGAGAGAGAGAAAGAGAAGGAGGGAGAGAATGAATGAAACCTAGTCTTTTATACAAGGTACAAAAGAAACATCCGGTTGTGCATCAGTCTTCGGATACTACAGTCTTTCGAAATCCTACGGGGTTTCGGGTCAAAGCTCGGAGAAGTCGAGAGCGTTGTCTTACAACTGTAACGCTTCCAAGCGTCGATCCCGACAACGAGATGCCGATTTGTCTTGCTCACGTCTATTATCGTCTCGCGTTTCTTTTTCAGTCAAAAAAGAGTTCTAACTATAAAAAAAAAAAAAAAAAAGAATTCAAATCTACAAGTCAAATGGAAACAGATTCTTCTCGATAGATGTAAAGAAGTGCTTAAGAAATGCTTAAGAATAGAGACCTCACTTTGAAAGTAAAATTGAAACGTGGGAAAATAGCGCAGACAAAAAATGCGTTTCCGTTATTTAAAAAAAAAAAATACAACCACAACGATACGTACGAATCGGCGAAAAAACATTGCTGGCGATTTTTTTCAGTTTCTTGTTTCAAACAATAACAATATTGTTGCATGTCAAATAGATAGTACACGAAATGTGTTCAGTCTACGAAAGAATTTCCGGAATATCTCGTTTATTAAAAAAAAAAATCAACATCGCATACGTGTGATTCTTTTCATTAATCAAAATTAATTATGCATGCTTCCAAATACGATCTTGCTGAAGATCCGTTTAAATCTTGTTTCAGGACGAGCTCCTAGGAATGACACTATGAAAGGTGAGTGAAAAAATAACTACATTGAACCTCAATTCCTCTTTTTTGTAGGAGAGAAAGTGGATCCTACTTTAACGCTGCTATACGTCCGAAATTTGCTTTTTTCCTGCTAAAGTTTTAAAGTAGGGTTCAATTCTCAGCTCAGACTGATGCGCATTGCAGGCTCTGATAGACTCAAAATAGGCTCTGATAGGCTCAAAGTAGGAGTAAGAAAAAAAGTAGATGCTACTTTGACGCTGCTATACGTCCGAAATTTCCTTTTTTTCCTGTAAAGTAGGATTTAAATTTTGACTCGGGGATTTTCTAAACAATATTACGTAAAAGCAATGTGGAAATGTATTCGCTAGAATGTTTATAGTCGATGACGTACTCGTGTAATCATCAGTAGATTAAAGTGATGCACGCGGCGGCGCTCTGACAATGTAGTTCATGATAAGGGTTCGTTACATAAAAATCGTTACGTAAACGCGCGTCACATTCGCGTTTTCGACAAACGGCGGCGAACAATTTCTAGCTTTTGTTCGATTTGCTTGTCAAATAATCGCAGTATAAATTGCTTTCAAATTCTATTTGTGCGTGTGTATTTGTACGTGACGTGTGTCGCGCGCGTGTTTATGTGTTATAAAATAAAATTCCAGGTTACTATTCGTTTCTTGCCAAATATTTGACAAATGCGCGACAGTATAACATATACGCCGCAACGTTTCCGTAAAATATTTCATCGCGTAATTCGCGCTGAACTTTGTGCTTTTGTAAGCTAATGTTTATCGAGTAGGTGACGACGTATCGTTTCGCAATATCGCGGTTCTCATTGTCGTTCAACGATAATTTTATTCTTAAAGAGATACTTATTATGATTACATTTTCATAAATTACACATATCGCGACCTACGTAAACTTGACAACTCCAACTTTTATTGCAATTAAATGATTAAAATATCCTGAACTTGATGATTCGAGAGAAAGACACTTGCAATATTTGTTTTTTCTTATTTTCTGTAAAACACAAGAGTGATCTTAAATAAATTGATTAATTAATAAATTCTTATATAGAAAAAGTTTATTACTTAAAAGAAAAAAATTTTAGATTTTGTTTTCAGAAGATTTTTATTACTTTAATCTGCGTTTATATTTTTTTACGCGCAATTCTAGCTTTAAAATAAACTACACCTAAAAAGAGAGAGAGAGAGAGAGAAAGTAGTAACGAAGGAAAACTAGTTATTGTGTGCAGACTCGTTTAACATTAACCGGATAATTTACCTCCCTAACATTATCCGGATAATGTACCTATCTATTTACCATTACCGGTTAATTATCTATGCATACAGGAAAAGCTCAAGAGTCGACCATACATGGCTTTGCGAAGCAGTATCCCGGCTGCACATTGTATACCAGAAAAAAATCGGGAGGTGAGTTTATAACGATATAACTCGAACTTAATTTATTATGTTGTTTTCGAGATAAAAATATTATTGCGCGCGAGAGCAAAGTGCTGAAAAAGCATCGGTAATTCAGAAAAATGATATATTTAGGAGTGGTTGTCGTTGGAGGGTCGAGATCAGGTCGCGGGATTTTATTGAGGACAATCGTATTCGTCTTCCTGGCTACGTTTCTCTGGCTTCAGCTTCACGTGATCAGTTTGACGGGTCGAGATGATTCCGGACAGTTCTCGTCGAACGAAACCCTTTTCTCTCTGGTACCTCAGGAATTGCATAGGTAATAATTTGAAAATACGTGTTTTACTCTCTGGTTTTTTAATTTCTTAAAATTATTTTTTGACTCAATCTAATTTTTAATAAAAACAATTAAAAAATAAATAGATCTTATAAGCTATAATCCACCGGTGTGTAGTAATGGATAATAATAAATTAAAAACCCGTTTTATATAATTCTGTTGACGTTTCGATCATTGATTTCTGATCATCTTCTTATAAAACGTATCTCAATGTAGATTTCTTCCTAAAAACTTGTTTTTCTATTAATTGATTTTAAAAATTGATTTTTAAATTCCAATTCCTTAAATCTATATTTTAATATCCATCAACATAAAATTGTACTATTGTTTCTGTTGAATATTGTCTGTTATAATATTACGCGATCGGATTTTTATCTTACGACTTCAGGTTTCTCAAAGAGGGACGTAACTCGACGGGTCTGGTGAACGCCAGCTCGGGAGCGCTCACGGAATTGGAGATCGCAGAGATCCGGCGTAAAATCGAGAGGGCGAATGAGGAACAAAAAGTGTATAATGAGGAGGCGTTTGGGCCGTTGGCCAGCGACGCTCCGATTATAGTCATCCAAGTGCACACGCGACTCACTTATCTGCGGCACCTTATCGTGTCGCTGGCTCAGGCCAAAGATATTGAACAGGCCCTTCTGGTGTTCAGCCATGACATTTGGCACCCAGATATCAATTATCTCGTCCAGAGCGTCGATTTCTGCCGGGTTATGCAGATATTCTACCCGCACAGCATACAGACACATCCGCGCACATTTCCCGGCGAAGGACCCAACGATTGCCCGCGAAATATTCGCAAGGAGCAGTGAGTTTGGCCGAAAAGTCATTTTTAACTTATTAAACGGTCTTTTTCTCTCTTCCAAATTGATCAAACTTCGAAATATGATCATTTTATGTTTGAATGTTTTGTTTGCGAATTACAGAGCCTTAAACTTAAAGTGCACCAACGCCAAGCACCCGGATTTGTACGGCCATTACAGGGAAGCTAAATTCACGCAGACGAAGCACCACTGGTGGTGGAAAGCGAATCGGGTATTCGATCAGTTATCGGTCACGAGAAATCACACGGGAATGGTGCTTTTCCTCGAGGAGGATCATTACGTCGCGGAAGATTTTCTGCACGTGCTCAGACTCATGGAACGCACTTGCAAGCTCAATTGCGAGAGATGCAACGTTCTGTCGTTGGGTACATATTTAAAGACGTACAACTATTTTGCGGATTTTAGTCGTAAGGTGAGAAATTTTTGTTTCGCATTTACGTCAAACCACGTTCTTAACATCTTGCTTAACGCGATGTTCCATGCACAAAGATTACATTAAGGATTTATACGAATATACGGAGCGAGTTTACGTTTTTTTAGTCAGAAGCGCATTTCATCGGCAACCGCCTTGTCAATCTCCGACATTTATTTCTATCTGCCAACTCTCTCATGCACTCATTTCTTCTGTCATAATCGTGCGAATACGATATAACGACGGTTTTTTTCTCTCACTGGCACACATATATATATATAGTAACGTTCATATTGCTGGTGCTTGTGTAGCGTGACAATATATCTGGCAAAACTTTTAGCACGCGCGTGTTGCGGTACATGCGATAAGACACGCTCTCTCCTCTCGCTTCTTTTCGAGCGATACATATACATATCCTTCGACGAATTCGCAGATTTATTTTACGCAGAAATCGCAATTATCGTAGCGGAAACACGTCGGTGTCGTTGAACCATTGCTGTTGCACGCTTCACACGACATTAAAACGTGTATCCGACGTGTTGATCATCATCATGTTGCTCATCATTAGTACGTCTCTATGTCGATGTTTCACGCACGTCCGATCCGTTAGTTTCTCGGCGTCGATAGCGCTCTGCAGAAGGAGATGCTGCGCGGACTAAAGCGGCAGGAGGCGAGGGTGATGCAGAGACAGCAGATCGGCAACGGGGAACTCGACGGCGCCAATCACGCCAACTCCGCTCCCGGGATCAGTAACGGAAGTATCGGCGGCAGTGGTGGCCGAGGAAACGGCGGCGCGTCCTCCACCTACTATCAAAACGCTAACATGGTGCAAGCGGCGCCCGCATGGGCCTTCCAACTCCTGCCCAGTCTCTACAATCACTATCAGAAGGTTCTCGTGAATCAATGGAATCTACCGAAATCCCGCCCGAAAATAGCAAAAAGCCAAACCGCCTACATACACACTTTGGTGTCTCCTTACGTTCGCCTGTTGTGCCTCGCACAAGTCTTTTTTTGTTGCTTCGCCTATATCATCACATGCCACTTCCATGGACGCGAAGTAGAATGCGAGTAGTTTTCCTATGCCCGTTTTAAAATTTATACACACTGCCAAAATCTTGCACGGCTTTTACCACCGACTCGCATCGACTCAGCCAACAATAACACAAACACCGATTTTAATGGATTGACTGATGGTTCCAATTGCTTGGTATTGAAACTAGAAAACCGAGAGAGCAATCTCGTCCCGTAGAAAGAAAATACTACTGTACTGTTTTTTTGCGGATATAAAGTATCGATCCGATGTTTTATATTAGCACATTCTAGTTGTACCTACGCCAAAAACGCGAATGTCGATGGAACTTCTTTGTAGACGGAACTTCCACTTCTTCGAGATGCAGTAGTGCATGCTTCGAATATCCACTGTTACGTGCACGATACAAAGTCATAATGAAACACCGAGTTCGCACGCACGGCTCAGACCGGCACGGCTGTGGAAATGGAAGTCTCTCAAACTGAGAGACCAATGTGCAATGTGTAAATCAGGAAGAAATATTGCGATTAAAATTCTGACTTTGTGTCTCAGCTGATCGCTTTAGATACATAGTTTTGATTAGTTTTTATTCCCGTAGATTTTATAAGATGTAAAAATCTCCAAATCGTCAAGAGAATTGCGAGATCGAAGAGAACTGCTAACGATTTTCGTTCTGTTAAAACAGGCGGAAGTGACACCTTGGATATCTAGCAAGCACAACATGGGCATGGCGTTCAATCGCGTTACGTGGAACAAGCTGCGAAAATGCGCCGCGCAGTTTTGCTCGTACGACGATTATAATTGGGACTGGAGTCTGCAGTACATCGCGCAGACCTGTCTACCGCCCAGCAGAGGTGCCGGAATAGCGCCTCGCGCCGAGTCGGGATTGATCACCATGACAATGAGAGCTCCGAGAGTCTTCCATATCGGCGAATGGTGAGTACGCAGTTGTTTTTTTTTCTTTTTATACATTTCCGTCACAACTTGTTGTCAAGTAAACGTTTACTTTCACAGTGGAGTGCATCACAAAAAGGACAATTGTGAATCGACAGCAGTGATAGCGAAAGTTCAAAATGTTCTTAAATCGGCGCGCAATCATCTGTTTCCCTCGCAATTGACGTTAACAATCGCCGGAACGGCGAAGAAGACGAAGCTCCGAAAGGGCAACGGCGGTTGGGGTGACGTTCGAGATCATCAACTCTGCTGGAACATGACTGTCCAGCCGGATCTAGTCTTGCCTTGATAATGGCGAATTTATATTGATGATCGCCGATCTCCAGTAGAATGCGTTACGAATGATAGTGATAGGATTGATTCACCCAAAATCTTACGAGTCTTGCGACTATATTTGGGGCGCTCCAGTTTCTATAGAAAGTTCGAAGAAAAAAGGAGAAAATGTTATCAAAAAATATTTGTCGTTCCTATCCGTGAATCAATTTCAAATAATTGTGAGATGAAGACGATCACTATCACTGCCTCAAATATTCCGTGGATATTTCGCCAAGATAATAACAAAACATTGCACACGAAGAAAACGAGAGAAGACATCGGGCTCAAATTGGTGCTATTCTGAGAGTACTGTGGTATCCATGTAATTCGATCGACACTAAACTGTGTCTGTCGTACTTGACGCAAAATAACGCGAAGACAGTAAAAAGAACAGAAAATCTATAGACAATTGCAGATAAATTAGCGAACGATAGATTTCGCAAATATGTGAAGAAGTATTCGATATCTCTCGGCGGAGACATTTATTCTACATTGCGTTATCCGCAAAAACTAGTGTGATAAAATATTAGAAATAAGATAAAGTTTCTTCAAACGCAGGTTCTGAAATGATGTTTTTTCAGGCGCGTTTTCGCTCGAGGAGAAAAAACAGATGTATTCTCGCTAGTGAGAATACGATGGTAACGTGAGAATACGAATACGAATCAAGTGTTTGATCTAAAGCTTAAACATGTATCACTATTTTAAGGGCCTATGTGACGCGTATCGGCGAGAAAAAAAAACAACCGCGTACGCATGTTTAACTTCCTTATCGTTTGTAACGAAACTGCAGATAAACGTAAAGTTGATAAACAAAGTACACGGAAAGTCTCTCTAAAGTAATGAGAGTAACACCGTAAAACTTTATTTATTACATTAATGCATTTTGAAAAGGCAGTGTTTAGAGCGAAAATATCTCGTTTCTTGAGAAAATTATATTATTTTGCAGAAATTCAGAATATATATTAGTCGATATTATTCTGTTAATAAATGTTTACAAAATTAATTTCGAAGTTAAAGATTAAGTGCGAATCATGAGGTTAAATATTTTATATAAAATATTTGAGAAATCGTAAAAATTTATTCATTACATTTATTTATTACACTAATACATTTCGAAAATGCAATGTTTAGAGCGAAAATATCTTGTCTCTGGAAAAAATTATTTTGCAGAACCTCAAAATATTTGTATATTAGTCGATATTATTGTTTCGTTAATAAATTTTTAACGAATTTAATTTTATTACAAAGTTAGAAATTAATTTAATTGCGAGTTATGAGGTTAACTATTTTATATATAAATATTTCATACATAAGAACATATACAAGGCTGTATTCTGTGTACTTCTTACAATTTAACGATATATGATTAACGCGTGTCTGCTTCCTGATTAGTTTCTATTTGCTCTTTTCGAGCTTTGTAACGCACGATAGCAGCGTTCAGAGTCGTGCAATTCCGATTCGCAAAAATACGCTCGACATATTCTAGTCAATGTGTATAACGTAATTATTAAGCTGCAAATATTTAACGACCGATCGTAGAGTTAAGTTGATTAAAATTTAAGGAGATTCACCGTTAGTAAAAATACCCTCAAAAGCGCTACATCATGTAACGACCTCGGGGATACGAACATAATGATTGTCACTCGTACCTTTTATATTTATAATAATAAAACAGCAACGAAAAAAATAAATAGAACTCGGTAAAAAAAAAAGAAAAAAAAACGACTATCTATTTTGAAGAATCTCTGCTTTTTCCTTCCGGTTGTTTTTGCAATCGATAATGTTTTTTGTTCTTGGAAAAGAAATATATGTAACACAATTCTAATTTTTTTCAATCGCACAACAAGAGAGATTTAAGATAATGTATAAAAAAAAAAAGTTTAATTTATGTACTTGTATATGTTTGTCTCGAGTCTAAAGTATCAACTTCATTTCGCGGACGCAGCTTGGTTAAAGATTCAAGTGTCTGTGATAAGCAGGCACATTGTCATCATATTCCGCCTTCATAAAGTTACCGGCGATTGGACCCTCCAAGTTGTACTTTTCCGCGAATTTTTTAATAGAAAACCTTTTTCGCTGACTTCCGTCCCTGTAATCAGATGCGATAAAAGGTGTTACCGCGTATATGTCTAAAAAACTAGCGTTTCGCGTGTGTTTCTTATCATATCATCAGTTTTACTCACCAAGTGCTCAATCGTCTTTCGTCAAAAGTAATAGCGCCCTGGTTTTGTTTGTAGACAAGAAACACGTAGCGGTGTTTACCGGTATTTTTTGGCGGAGCGGGACCGACATATTCCGCTAGAACTTCGCCTTTAGCTATATTTTCCTCCGGTATATTTCCGACGAGCCAATGTCGAAATTCGCGATTATATCCTCCTCTTCTCGGTGCATCAGGGTCTGTGATAAAACATGTTATCTAATTACGCACATGCAGAAATGCATAGAAAATTAGTGTTAAATACGTTAATATTATAAATTCTTTCTATTAGATTTACACGCATCTCGATAGATGCTGACAAATCGCTGCGCATCGCCAATTTGCGACGGTATATCGAGAAAACTGGTTTTCGTGACGGTGAAAGTTGAACTCATCGAGGATAACGCGTCTATATGTACACACGTTTGGATTTGCATAACGAAACAAAACAAAACGACCTTATTTGAAATATTCTGTATGTCTTTTGAGGCTTTTTTTTTTAAGTATTTTCGGACGCGTAATTACGCGCGAACCGATTCAGAACTCATACCTGTCATAACAAGCGTATAGAGAACCCCTCCTTCATGTTTATAATGTATTTCGGGTATCTCGTGACTCTCTGTCGGAGTCAATTCGGTTCCCAGATCGACCACTTTATCGCCATATTTTACCTATGAATGTAACACAAATTATTTGAAGAGATAGATAATACAATTAAAATATAAAAATATTATATTACCTCGATCTTCTCGGTTGGAGCCTTGTCTATAATATCGGGTTCGATCTTCGCCTCCTTAAATGCCGATTTCACATCGCCCAACGAGAATCCGACCGCGCAGAGAAGGATTCCTTAATAATCATTACGCACAAAAATGATAATGATTACTTACTGGATACAAAGTACTCATATGTCAAGGATAAGACACTCGTATATTGCAATTTTCTTCAGAGAGTAATGAACAACGAACCTGTTATTAAATATTTCATTCTTGGAAACGTTGTTCTAAGCACGTTGCAACAGCAGTATTCAAGAAAGTTCTATAACACACGGATGTTTTATTGCTGACTCCCCACCAGCTCGTGTGCAAAGAAGGCCCCTTCAGTTGCCGGCCTTTCCAATGTTTTGTACCGTGTAGCAAAAATGGACGTTGTAAAAGTGTTTCTCGAGAGGAGGATACGTAAGATCTATTTGATGCAAATAAGGAAACTGATATGTTGCGGAGTTCGAACGCGGAAAGATCTTATTTGCATAAATTACATCTGCAGATTGCATACGTGAAAGCCGATACGAATCAACATGAAAAATGTCGATTATTGTGTGATAGTTTTCTGTTTATATTGATTTAATTTACGAATAGATAGACCAAATAATATGTTAGGATTAAAGTGAAAAACCCTACAGAAAGGTCAGTAAGTAATGCGATTGTTCGGTGCACCAGTTTTAAGTAATCTTTATTGTTCACTTGGATTAAACAATCATACTGATACCAATTTCACCTGGTAAAAGAACCCTTTCTTTTATACTAAATATCAAAGACCTAATTTTAATTAAAAGAAATGACAGATACATATTTAGTCCGCAAATAGCTGGATATAGTATTACGCATACATATATATGTATATATATTATGGTGTACAAAATCGTGCAAATCGTATACATAAGTTTTAACCTTCGAGCTGTTTATAAAGAATCGGTACGTAATCATCATACTCTGCCTGATACATATTACCAGCGATCGGATCGCCGAGTTTATATTTGGCAGCAAACTTCCTAATCGAAAATTTACCGCGATTATCGCCACTTCGATTAGTTAGGCGTTTCTCATCAAAAGTAAGCTTGCCAGATTGTTTGTACAACAAAAACACATATCGATGAAGACCAGTGCCTTCCGGAGGTCCAGACCCGATGTACTCGGACAAAACCTCGCCTTTAGATACATCTGATCCAGGAATATTGCCTACCAACCAGTGATGCCATTCACGGAACTTGGGATTCTGTCTGCTCGGAGCATCGGGATCTGTTCAAATATAAAAAGTAAACTTTACATCAACAAGAAACATCAACACTAATGTTTTTGTACATATTTAAACTTTTACTATATGTCAAAATAATCACTTACCGGTCATACATAAAGTATAAAATAAATTTGCATCTCCGTTCCATTGGACTGTAGGCTGATCCTTGACCTGAGTTGGAGTAAATACCTTGCCAATTTCAACAGTGAGGTTGTTGGGATATGTTACACTCAACACATCTGCAGGTACCTTGTCGACCACATCTGGTATTACCTCGTGAGTTTGTAGAGCCTGAGCCATTGATGACAATAGACGTGTTGTAGTCTGAGATACTACTGATAAGATTCCTGAGAGTGTAAGATACTTTATTAGCAATCAAATTAGTGATCAAAACACACTTTGTTAGGGATCTCTTATTAATGATCAAAAAAAATAACACAGATTGTTATCACAGAAGTTATATATACAAGTTATCTTAGTTATATGTTAAAACATATGAGACCAAAGATGGAAACTAAAATATAATTTCACAATTATGTAAAATCAGTTGGGAACACAATTAATGTGAGGACTTTCTCTCTCAAATCTTTCAATACCCAAACAGAAAATTGCAATGAACACGAATTTATGACGCAGCAACATTTTTCGCCGAGTAACACGTAGTACGACGATTCGCGAGCAAATGAGAAAGATGACAGCGTATATATGCCGTATCTTTCGTAACTCTTTCACAGTGGGCGGGAAGATTGTTCGTGAAAGTACGGCAATTGGCACGAGAATACAAACTCGGGATGTGCTATTACTTGGTGCAAGAAGACACGCAGACATGATAAGGTACGCACTTGCCGGTAGTTCAGTCGAAACGAACAACAAGATGAGAGAGGAAACCGGAATGTACTGGAATCGCTTTGCCCCTCTCTCGATCGCTACTTACAGCCGATAATAGCAGCAATTGGGTCTCAAAAAGCTGTTATCAACCGGCTGGTATAAAATTGTGTAATACGTGCTAATATGTACCACCGGTGAGCTTCGTTCCAATAATAGATAAAGCGATGTTATGAAATAACACAGATAATAGATAAAGCCATGTTATGAAATAACAAACAATATAACAGTTTGAATTTACTTGCAACCGCTGAAGGATTCTCCTAACCGCTAGTTCTTCCCTACACTTACCGGCTTTGGGAGTGGGAGCGCGATCAGATATAAACTGCGTTCACTGCCAATGCTAAAAATTTATACTTCACGTCACATATGCTATAGATTTACAGTACTGGCGGTGAATATCAAAAGACAGCCATAATAATACTTCGGTAAAGTTGGTTGGTAAATGCAAAAGTGGCTCAGCAGACCGGTTACAGATAGTTCATGTGTTATTTTATGTAATACTTTGGTAGTATGCAGTTCAAGCACATTGATTCGGTTTTCAGCCTCTGTGAAATAAGACACAATTTGACCTACTGTTACGCAAACAAATGCGTTTTTCAACTGTCACATATGTGAATTTTGTTTTCAAATATGAGCCAGTTTCATTATCTTCAAGGAACTTATTCGGCCGATGCTCTCTTTCTCTCTCTCTCTCACTCTTTCTCTCACTCTCTCTCTCTCTCTCTCTCATTCTCTCTCTCTCTCTCTCTCTGACGTACATTTCCATCTACTATACCAAAAAAGTTGATCATACGGGCTCCTTCCTACACCATTCACACTAGCATCGCTCACACTTCATGCACACGCAATTATAGGGTGTGTTTAGACGAAGCTAGCGCTACGTAGCGCTACGTAGCGCTAACTTCGGCTAAACACACCCATACTTCTTAAGGACAACATTTACTTTACATCTACTATACGAAAAACGTTGATCATAAGGGCTCATTCATACACCATTCCCACTAGCATCGCTCACAATTCATGCACACGCAATTTCACTTCTTAAGGACAACATTTAATTTACATCTACTATACCAAAAAAGTTGTTCTTAAGGGATCATTCATACACCATTCCCACTAGGGTAGCTCACACTTCATGCACACGCAATTTCACTTCTTAAGGACAACGTTTAATTTACATCTACTATACCAAAAAAGTTGTTCTTAAGGGCTCATTCATACACCATTCCCAC